TTAATGACCCTTTGTAGGGAACCCTGACTCTACGATTCTATGGCCTCTGAAGTGTCTCTTCCAACTTTAATAGTACATAATATTAAGGGCTTTTTATGGGGCTGGTCAATCAGATATAATGGGGAAATAATAATAATAATAATAATAATAATAATAATAATAATAATAATAATAAATTTTATTTTTATCCCACCCTCCCCAGCCGAAGCCGGGTTCAGAGCGGCTAACAACAATAAAATAGTGCAACATTCTAAAAACATTTCATTATAAAAATTAATTAAAATCAAATTGATGGCAACCATTGGGCTAGAGTTCTATGAGGATTACCGAAGGAGGGGGTCAGACTGTGCCTTGGCCAGAGGCCTGGTGAAACAGCTCTGACTTGCAGGCTCTGCGGAAAGATGTCAAGTCCCACAGGGCCCTAGTTTCTTGTGACAGAGCATTCCACCAGATTGGAGCCGCAGCCGAAAAAGCCCTGGCTCTAGTTGACACAGGGTTTAGTCTGCAATCCTATGCACACTTCCTTGGAAGTAAGCGTGGCTTTGCTGTTGAAGCAGACGCTTCTGGGATCACTGCCAGGCATATTCTATGCACACAAACTATGGAGTACTGAACTCAGGTTTAGCTCTCGGAGTAACTGAATGCATGGGGGCCAGAGCTGCACGTTAAGCATTTGGCCCTCATAATAACACCAGAAGAGCCTGCTGGATCAGGTCATTGGCCCACTTAGTCCAGCATCCACTTCTCACAGTGGGCAACCAATGCAAAACCCACAGGCAGGAGCTGAGCACAGGGTCCCTCTGGTATTCAGAAGCATCACTGGCCTAGACTGCGAAGGCAGAGCATAACCATCCTGGCTGGTAGTCATCACTAACCTTCTCCTCCTCCATGAATTTGCCCAATCCTATTTTGAAAACTGGGAGAAAAGCAATGACAAACCAATGACAAACCTAGACAGCATCTTAAAAAGTAGAGACATCACCTTGCCAGCAAAGGTAGTGATGTATGGAAGTGAGAGCTGGACCATAAAGAAGGCTGGTCGCCAAAGAATGGATGCTTTTGAATTCTGGTGCTGGAGGAGACTCTTGAGAGTCCCATGGACTGCAAGAAGATCCAACCTCTCCATTCTGAAGGAAATCAGCCCTGAGTGCTCACTGGAAGGACAGATCCTGAAGCTGAGGCTCCAAGACTTTGGCCACCTCAGGAGAAGAGAAGACTCCCTGGAAAAGACCCTGATGTTGGGAAAGATGGAGGGCTCAAGGAGAAGGGGATGACAGAGGACAAGATGGTGGGACAGTGTTCTTGAAGCTACCAGCATGAGTTTGACCAAACTGCGGGAGGCAGTGGAAGACAGAAGTGCCTGGCGTGCTCTGGTCCAGGGGGTCACGAAGAGTCAGACAAGACTAAACGACTAAACAACAACATTTTGAAAACATCCAAGTTGGTGCCCATCACTGCTTCCAGTGGGAGGGAGTTCCACTGTTTAACTCTCTGCTGTGGGGTCTTAGAATCATAGAGTTGGAAGGACTGTCTAGTCCAACCCCCTGAAATGTAGGAATATGCAGCCATCTCATACAGGGATTGAACCTACAGCCTCTAACCAGAGGTTATACAGATGGCACCATACCCCATCAAAACTTGCTAAAATGTATAAAGGCAGGTCACCAACATGTTGGAGATGTAAGAAGGAGATAGGTAAGAAGGAGATGTGGTGGACCTGTGCAATCATATATGATTTCTGGAATAATATCTACAACGAACTCAAGAAACTATTCAAATTTACCGTCAAAAAAAGACCAGAATTTTTTTTTTATTAGGAATATTGCCAATAGAAATTTTAAAAAAACATAAGACCAATGTTCATGTATGCAATCATGGCAGCAAGAATACTCGTGGCGAGAAACTGGAAAAGCGAAACACCACCAACGATAACAGAATGGCAGACACTTATGGTAGAATATTTCCAACTAGCAAAACTGACGGGTAAAGTCAGAGGAGCTTTAAATCAGAAAACATACGGAGAATGGAAAATATTTAAGGAATATATAAGATTATATTGTATAAGTGATACCATCTTAGCAGAACTTGAATGATACTTGTGAACAAAAATGAATGAAACGAATAGCTTAGTGGAATATATGAAAAAGGATATAACGCAAAGCTGTGCGACAAAACCATGGTAATAGAAATAGTATAATGAGAACGATTGGAAGTTTTAAGCAGAAATTTTTATTTGATAAACATGATTTTGTATAAATTTTGGTTTTTTTCTTTTTTCCTTTGTCTTTTCTTTCTTTTTCGTCTTTTTAACTTTTTCCTTACTCCTATGTCGTGATGTTTTTTTCTTCTGTATTGAATTTTTCTATACTTGCCTTGGTTGTAAATGATCATTTACGTCTGTATTTTAAACCAATAAAGATTTACCATGAAAAACCCCAAAAAAACAGCCTCTGACCAGAGAAGCTATCCTTTCGTCTGTCTCCATAAACGTGAGCTTCATGGCAGAGTGCGGATTTCAACCTGGTTTCCCAGGTCCTGGTTCTAACCACTACACCACACTGCCTCTCTAAAGACAGGCCTCCTGCGTGTGTCCGAGAAGTTGGACTCCAGGAAAGCGCACCTCTCCGGCTGGACTCCAGGCTGGACCCTAGAGGCGCTGCCCGAGGCGGGTACTTCAGTACCAAGGACAGCTCCCGCGCCCGACGGGCGCGCCCTCCGCTTCCCCCTCCCGTCTCCAGGTGCCCGAACTGCGTTAGGTGGCGGGGGGGGGGGCTGGTCCCAGATGTGAGCCCGCCCGAGGGGGGGGGTGGAATGACGCTGGTCGGTCTCCGAGGGGATAAAAGCTAGACGACCAGCCTGAGCAGCCGCAGGAGCCGCCGCCGCCACGATGGGCAGCAGGGAGCGGGCGCGCGTCCTGCGGGTGCCGCCGCCCTTTCTCTTCCCCGACGGGGCGGCCGGAGAGCGCGGGGAGCAGCCTGGTGGAGGAGGTGGGTTGCGGGACGCTAGGTGCTGGGGGGATGGGGGTGGGACCTGGAGAGGGGGAGGCAAGGAAGAAGCCGCCTCCCCCCTCCCGAGCACTGCCCGCCCCGTCTGCCTTCTTTCGCACCCCCGCAGGTCCCCGGACGGAGGGAGGCGGCGGCGGCGGCCCCAGGAAGAGGAAGCGGACCACCTTCAGTCGGGGCCAGCTGAGCGAGCTGGAGCGCGTCTTCGCCGCCCTGCCCTACCCGGACATCGGGACGCGCGAGCGCCTGGCCGAGCTCACGCAGCTGCCCGAGGCCAAGATCCAGGTGAGCCCCGACGGCTCCTCCGCTTCGGGAGGGCCCCTGCCTCTCAATGCCCCTTCTCTCATCGGCTCCCTCTCCCTCCAGGTCTGGTTCCAGAACCGCCGCGCCCGCAGGATCAAGAGCAGCGCCGCGCCCCGCCGGGCTCAGGCTGGCAGCAAGCCCGACGGGCAGCCGGGATTGAGCGCCACGCCGCCGCCCGGCAGCGCCTCTGTCTTCCTAGGCTGGGAGGAGGCGGCGGCGGCGCCTCCTCGGTGGCCGGGGAGCTCCGTCCGAGAAGAGGAAGAGGCCGCGGCGTGGACCGCCCTGTCGGGCCGCTGGGACGCCTTTCCTCCGCCTCGCACCTCCCTGGGGACCATCTCGGACCTCATCTACAGCGCCGCCCTGGTGGCCAACTTCGGGGACCTCTAGACGCCCGCGTGGGCGCACCGTCGGGGAAGAGCTGGCGCTGGGTGAGAGATGTTTGGAGGCCTGGCTGGAAGCGGCAAAAGGGGAAGGCTGGAGCAGCGTCTCTCCTCCTCTGTCAACCATCGTTCCTTTGTGTCACAGGCCCCTTCCTGGGAAGGGGAGAGGGCTGTCTCTGTTGGGAGTCCAATTGTATCTGGGCGCCCCCCCTCCCCGTTTAAAATGCACCTGGCCGCATTAATCTGCTGGCTTTTCTCCTCTTCCCCTCAAATCTCTCTTGTAACTCCAATAAAAGAGATGTTTTGTGATGTCCTCACAGCTTAGCCTGATCACTTTCATTTCTGATTTCGGTGTGTGGGGGGGTGCTCTCTACCCCACAGGCCTATCCAATATCCTTAAATGCAGAAGCGGGGGGAGCTCAGACCCCACAATCGCTTGATAATGCCACCTAATCTGCCCAGGGGAAAAAAAATACCTTAATCTCCAGGGGGATCCGTGGATGATTGAACGACATCACCTAATCCCAGTGATGGCCCAGGGAGAAGGTCTAGGTTCCCATAGCGCCCCCCCCCTTTCTGGGCCCAGCCAGCTGGAATGGCACATAGCGACAATATTAATATTGGAGTGTGTGTTTCTGGCGAGGGCTTAGCGGACATCAGAACATTAATCAACGCTTCTGAGGGGCCTCTGACCAGCACCCGCTGCTTAAAGCCTCCAGGAGCATAAAGGACACAATGGTTTTGAGCAACTGTTATACAAGGTGGGCGTTGTCATAGAACTGTAGAGTTGGGGGGCACCCAAGGGTCATCTAGTCCAACCCTCTGCAATGCAGAAATCTCAACTAACACATCTATGACAGGCGGCCTCCCGACCTCTGCTTAAAAACCTCCAATGAAAGAGAGTCCACAACTGCCTGTTGAACAGCTCTGTCAGAAAGTTTTTTTGTATTCTTAGCTGGACTCTTCTAGGGATCTAAAACGGGACGAAGCTCATACCGCAAGCCTCAAAACACAGTTTGTTATCCCATATATATATTGGTCACCATTACACAGCAAATAGAAGACAAGGAGTACCTCCCTCTAAAATCCCTTCATCAATGAGAATACAGTGGTACCTCAGGTTACAGATGCTTCAGGTTAGCAGCAACAGGAGGCCCCATTAGCTAAAGTGGTGCTTCAGGTTAAGAACAGTTTCAGGTTAAGAACGGACCTCCGGAATGAATTAAGTACTTAACCTGAGGTACCACTGTATGTAGCCTTCCTCTCCCTCAGAACCTCCCCACACCTGCTACTAGAGAACTGCCTGAGTTGCAGCTTCAACAGATTCCGATCCGTTTATTGCACACAACAAAGGTTGATTTCTATACATTAAGACGACACCCGGGGGATGGCGGTTTGCGGAGGGGGGGGAGCATCTCCAAACTGTAAGGGGTAGGATGCGGCCGTTCACGGTTGCTTGCCGGGCTTGGTGTAACAGCAAAATGGTGTGTCCCTTTGTGTTTGCCAAAGGGCAACAAAAGTAGTCGCTATGGGCACCCTCTCTAGCACTGCCAGCTCAGGTGGCCAACGCTTTGGAAACAGCAACCTTCCAGCTTGCGGGTGTGACAGAAACACGAGGGAAAATCTCCTCCTGTTGGTGTGAAGTTGCTATCCCCTAGTCCTGGACCCTTTGCAGCTTCAGGGCCTGCAGGAAAAAAACCCCAAACTACTGAAAACACACCAGATTACTTGTGCCAGAGAAAAGGGAGGCCTGTTGGGGAAAGGAAAAGCACAGAGGCCTCAGGGGAAGGAAAAGGAGCCGACTTGTCTGTAGCTGCAAGAGTTGCGTTGAGAATGTCCTGTTCCTCCTTGGTAGTTTGTACTGGGATTTGCAGGTGGCCTCTGGGGGCCGAGCCCCACCTCCCCGGCCATGAGTGGGGAGCAGCAAGGATGGAGAGAGCAGGCCGAGAGAAAGGCCAGGCAGGAAGGGCTCCTTGGCTACGGCTCCCCCAGTTCTCCTTCCAGGTTCCGAACCATCACATAGAGCTCGGCCAAGCCCACGACGGAGGCCACGACCACGGCGGACAGGACACGCTGGAAGGAAGGGGGGAAAGGAAGTCAGCTCAGCCTCAGACACCTCTGCCAGACGAGTTGCAGTTAAGAGACATCCTGCCTTGCTTCCGCTCTGGACTTTTTTGGGGGGTCGGGGCTAATCTGTACCCTTGGGGGTTTTTTTTGCGTCTAGCATTAGAGTCAGAACCTTTGTTTTTTTGGATTCAAAACTAAAGGCTTCCCCTCTCCCCCTTTTACATAAAAATGCACTAGTGGAGGAATTGCAGGATCATAGAGTTGTGGAGTTAGAAGGGACCCCCAAAGGTCATCCACTCCAGCCCCCTGCAATGCAGGAATCTCAGCTAAAGCATCCAAGACAGATGCCTAAAAACCTGCAAGGAAAGAGAGTCCATCCCCTCTCAACAGCTCTTACTGTTCTTCCTGATGTTTAGCAGCCATCTTCTTTCTTGTAACCTGAAGCCATGGGTTCGAGTCCTACCCCTCCTCTGGCAATCTGCACAGAATGTTGCTTAATGGTTGCCATTAATTTGATTTTAATTAATTTTATAATGAATGTTTTTAGAATGTTGGATTATTTTGATTGTTGTTAGCCGCCCTGAGCCCAGCTTCGGCTGGGGAGGGCGGGATATAAATAAAAATTTATTATTATTATTTATTATTATTACCCTCCAGAGCAGCAGAAAGCAAGCTTGTTCCCTCTTCCGTGCAATAGCCCTTGAGATATTTGAAGATGACTCTCCTATCTCCTCTCAGTCTCCTCTTCTCCAGGCTAAACATCTCCAGCTCCTTCAACTGTTCCTCATCAGGCTTTGACTCCAGACCCTTAACCATCTTGGCTGCCCTACTCTGCGCATGTTCCAGCTTGTCAATGTCCTTGGAAGGTTAAACTCTATGTTGTTCAAGAGAGCTGCCCTTCACACACACACCCCCCCACAGAATATCCAGAGCTTTCCTTAAGTCTCTCCCTGCCCCCTGTATGGTCCCGCCCCCCCGGCCCAGCTGCCACTCACCGGTGCCATTTCCACGAAGATGTACTGGGAGCCCAGGTAGGTGCAGGCAAACGTGGCTCCCACAGTGACCAGGAAGTTGACGATGGTGACAACCAAGGCTTTGGTGGACCTCACTGGGAAAAGCAGAGGCAGAGTGTGTGACCCAGGCCCAGCAAGGTCCATGAGGAGGAAAGGGAATCCCCTGCCCCTCTGAAATGAGCTTTGCCCACCCCTCCTCATTACCCCACTGCAGTGCTCCTCCTCGCCTCACAGGAAGCTGCTATATACTGGGCTAGAACACTGAAAACTTGGGAACTCCCTGCCTGCTGATATAAAGAAATTTGCCTTCCCTGTACTCTCTTCAGCGCCTGCTAAAAACATTCTTTAGACAAGCCTACGCTAGTTTTTAGTCAATTGTCATTTTAACTCTTTGAAAGTTTTAACTTGCGAATTTGGGGTTTCTTTTACAATCAAGCAGTGTGTAAAGGTTATGAAATAAGCGAATAGGGCCATCGAGTTCAGGATTGCCTGCCCTGACCAGCAGAAGTTGCTCTCCAGGGTCTCAGAACCTGGGGCCACAGGCATGGAAAGGGGGGGCTCTGCCAGGAACACGCAGCCCTTCCCCTAACAGCCCTCATGGTTCTGACCAAAGGGACTGGCTTTCAACAGGAACAGAGGCAGCTGCCATAATACAAGTTGGAACACGGTTCCCTAGAACTTCGTATTGTCTACACCTGTTGGTCTTTAACCGGTCCAGACCCAAGACCCACCTCTGACCCCCAAACAGGAACGCTGGACCCATTCTTACTTTCAGTTTTAACTTAACAGTGCTGGAGTCTCACCACATATTACACACACTGAGGTACTGGCATGCTATTGTTTTTTCCAATATTATATGTAGTAGTTTGAACCAAGTGAACCAATCTTTCATTTAATACAGTGGTACCTCGGGTTACATACACTTCAGGTTACATACGCTTCAGGTTACAGACTCCGCTAACCCAGAAATAGTGCTTCAGGTTAAGAACTTTGCTTCAGGATAAGAACAGAAATTGTGCTCCGGCAGCGCGGCAGCAGCAGGAGGCCCCAGTAGCTAATGTGGTGCTTCAGGTTAAGAACAGTTTCAGGTTAAGAACGGACCTCCGGAACGAATTAAGTACTTAACCCGAGGTACCACTGTAGTTGCCCAAAACTTCTGAACCCTTTTCTCTATGCCCGTGGCTGATACTGAGTAAGAGGACAAATCATCACCACCATTATGGCTGCCTTTCCTTAACAACAAAAAGCTTCTCTCTTACTTTCCATAACCTTCACCGCCTCCTTTCTTTCTCCTGGAGTTGCAGAGTTGGAAGGGACCTCTGGGGTCATCTAGTTCAGTGTTTCCCAACCTTGGGCCTCCAGCTGTTTTTGAACTACAATTCCCATCATCCCTGACCACTGATCTTGCTAGCTAGGGATGATGGGAGTTGTAGTCCAAAAACAGCTGGAGGCCCAAGGTTGGGAAACACTGATCTAGTCCAACCCCTAAAGCAGCAGACAGCTAAACTATGGAACTCCCTGACACAAGGCATTGAAAAGATGGCATTGAAAGAGAATTGAGCAAATTCCTAGAGGGCTATTAGCCAGGATGGCTATGATCTGCCTTCACCGTCACAAGCAGCAATGCTTTTGAATCCCAGTTGCTGGAAACCACAGGAGAGGAGAGCTGCTCTTGTGCTTGAATCCTGCTCACTGGTTTCCTACAGGCATCTGGCTGGCGACTGGGAGAACAGGATCCCGGACTAGATGGGCACTGACCTGATCCAGCAGGCTCTTCTTGGGTTCTTTTTATCTCCTCAAACATTTCTACCCTCTCTCTCAGCGTCTTCTGCTTTCCTTTCAGCTGCTGCTACTATCACCTCTCTGTCTCCCTCTCCCTTTCCTTTTTTGCTCTGCTCTTTCTTCCATCTTTTTTGGGGGGAGGACATTTTATTTACAACACAACATAACCCCCCCCACCAACACAGAAAACCACCCTCATTAAACATGAACATAACATAACATACAATAAGCATAACATGTTGTTGTTTAGTTGTTTAGTCGTGTCCGACTCTTCGTGACCCCCTGGACCAGAGGACGCCAGGCATAACATACAACATAACATATAATACAAACAATCAAATAAAAGACTTCCTTTATCCTGTATCTGGCCTCCTTAATTACTTCTTATAAGCTGTTTCCTTTATGAATAATTATTAAGATTTTTCTAATTATAACTTAAATATCCACAAAGTCTCCTGCAGACATGAATCGAAACCAGTCCAGGTATGTATTTTAGGGCACTGTTTTGTGAAGTATTCTCTGCATTTCCCCCATGCTTTTTGAAACTCTTGTCTAGTGTGATCTCTAAATGCCTCTGTTAATCTAGCCAATTCAATATACTCTAACAGTTTGTCTTGCCATTCCTTTTTTGTTGTTGCTCTTTCTTCCATCTTGTGCCGCCTTCCCTGCCTCTTCAACTCCCTTCTCTCTGTGACTCCTGCCCCCCACAATGTCAACTTGCCTGAAATTAAAATGAGCAGGATTTCTGGGAAAACTTCATCCCCTCAGAACCTAACATAGGGGGCAGCTGCACTTGGTTTCCCCTTTTTTGGATGATGAAGCTTGAAGAAACTCCTCAGATTCTCCCACATTGAAGGGACATATTTTCGTGGTTCTAAAATGAAAAGGGTTGTTTTCCCTCTTAGTTTGCAAAGACTTGTACTTTATTTTATTTCTTAAGCGACTAAATAAAAGCAAAATTCATTCCAGAGTCTACTCAGACATTAAGAAAGTTGATGTGAGTTTTAATCTGTTCCTATTGTTAATTTAACTTTCAAAAAATGCTTATTGCTATTTTTTCTTTGTGTTTTCTCCTTTTTTGTAAACTGCTTTAAAGTTTGGTTTTTCTCACAATCAAATGGTGTATAAATTTTATGGAATAAATTTCAAATCAAGACTGAAATACTAAAGTTGCTGTCTTGTGCATAATTACTTGAGATACATCCCATTCCAATGAATGGGCCTTACTTCTGAAAAGACATGCATAGGAGCTGCTATCAATTTAACTAAGGTTAAATTGGGAGTCTCCTCTCCCCTTCCTGCAGTTCCCACCCCACCCTTTCTGCCTCCTTTAATGCATGCCTTACTTTCCCTCTCTCACAACCACCCATCCATCTGTCCTCTCCTTGTCTCAACATGCCACCTGCTCTTAACACAGAAACCCACCTTGCCTTCCAAGGTCAGCCAAAGTGCCGTATCGGTTCAGTTCCTAAAAGAAAGAGGGAGAAGAGTTTGTTAGCTTCTTACAGGGCTTTCCTCTGTTCTGCTTGGCAATGAAGCAGCTTCAGGACCAAGGCAAATAAAGGCCTTCCCTTCTTCCCAGGTGTGGTGTGAAAATGTCACCGAGGCCGTCAGATATAAAATGTGGAGCTCTATGACCCAATAATTTGAATTCTGGTGCTGGAGGAGACTCTTGAGAGTCCCATGGACTACAAGAAGATCAAACCTCTCCATTCTGAAGGAAATCAGCCCTGAGTGCTCACTGGAAGGACAAATCCTGAAGCTGAGGCTCCAATACTTTGGCCACCTCAGGAGAAGAGAAGACTCCCTGGAAAAGACCCTGATGTTGGGAAAGATGGAGGGCACAAGGAGAAGGGGACGACAGAGGACGAGATGGTGGGACAGTGTTCTCGAAGCTCCCAGCATGAGTTTGACCAAACTGTGGGAGGCAGTGGAAGACAGGAGTGCCTGGTGTGCTCTGGTCCAGGGGTCACGAAGAGTCGGACACAACTAAACAAACAACAACAACATGACCCAAATCCCACGGCAGAAACTACAGTAACTGCGCTAGTCCCATCACATATACTTAATGCTAACCAGAGATTAGCTGCCTATATAGCAACTCTATGAACAGGAAAATTGGAAGCTGCCTTATACTGACCCAGATCTGTGGCCCATCTAGTTCAATACTGCATACGCTGGCACAGGCTCTCCAGGGTTTCAGGCAGGGAGTCCTCCCAGCCCTACCTAGAGCCATTGGGGGTTGTACCTGGGACCTTCTGCCTGCAAAGCAGGGGCTCTACCACTGAACTCCGGTTCCCTCCCCAAAGGAAAGGGCCTCACCCTGAAGCTTAATCTTTATTATGTTCATTTGCATGCTTAACACAAATTCTTAGTTCCAGAACCCCTGTGCCCTTCACTGAGGGTCTGTATCCACATCCACCAACCCTTCCTCAAAGCAGAGCCGTATCACGTAGATGGCTTAAGTAAGATCAGGCTGATCTTTGCTAAGGGTGGGGCAGTTCAGGTTTATATTTTCCCCTCACCTGGCAGTTGATGTTCCTTGTTATCTTCTTGTATTCCTCGTTGGCTAGCTGGGCCTTGATCTTCTCTAACCGGGCTACTAATTCTGGATTCTGAAACAGAAGACAAACTTGCAATGGAACAGCAATTTCACTGTTTTATGCCAAAATATTTGTTGGGAGAGGGAGAGATTTAGGCTTCCTAAGATACATGTAACTAGAGATTTCTGTGTGTTTGGAGATGCAAAGTTATCTCCTTGTCAAAGCCTTTTATACATCAGAAGCCACAGAGATTCCAACCACCTAGTTATTTTTATTAAAAAGGTAAGTGCTTCATACAAACCCTGGGAGGCTTTTTCTCTTCAGGAAGGAAGATCTCACTGCCTTCCAGCAGTTCATGAAGATATACTTGAGAACCTAGGAGTAAAAAAAGGTGTGTCACCAATAAGAATTCTGGGCCAAAGGAATTTGAAAGATATAATGTTATGCACATAGGAAATGGCCTTATCCTAGGTTGGATTCTTTGTCCACTTAGGCCAGTACTGTCTGCTTTGACTGGTAGCTGCACTCCAGGGTCTCACGTGTGGAGAAGGTTTTCACCTTGATTCTTTTAAGTGGAGAATTTAGGATTGAAGTCCTGCCCTTCCACATGTGCACAGGAGGGAAACCATTTCATCCTCATTACAAACCTGTAAGGTAGGATAGGCTGCGAGATAGTGACTGGCTCCAAGGTCACCAAGCAAGCCCTTCATAACTGGTTGGAAATTTGAACACTTGTATCCTAACAAGCCTGTAAGGTATGGTAAAGATATGGTAAAGCGTCCTGCCTCTCTCACCCCCCACCCTCCAGTCCAACACTCTACTAGGGCACCACATGGGCTCTGTTTCCCTTTACTATTCACCCCCATTTCAATGTATTTTGTTCCCCAATAAGTGTGTATACCATGGCGCACCCTATGCTATGTATGGTGTAGTAGTGTTTTGAGTGTGGAGTCAGTGTGGTGTAGTGGTTAAGAGTCTTGGGCAGAGAAACCAAGCAGATCAAGGTTCAAATGCCAACTCAGCCATGAAGTTCACTGGGTGGCCCTGGGTCAGTCTCTCTCTCTCTCTCTCTCTCTCTGTCTAAGAAACCTCACAGGAGTGTTCTGAAGATAAAATAACCAGGGTGGGGTGGGGAGAAACATGTACATTATCTTGAGCTCCTTTATGGGAACACGTGACATGAATACAATTACAGTGGTACCTCGGGTTAAGTACTTAATTCGTTCCGGAGGTCCGTTCTTAACCTGAAACTGTTCTTAACCTGAAGCTAACCACTTTAGCTAATGGGGCCTTCCGCTGCCGCCGCAGCACGATTTCTGTTCTCATCCTGAAGCAAAGTTCTTAACCCGAGGTACTATTTCTGGATTAGCGGAGTCTGTAACCTGAAGTGTATGTAACCTGAAGGGTATGTAACCCGAGGTACCGCTGTAGATCTATATGCAGGTGCCCCTTCTAAGCGTTAGTTAGTTTACTGGAGAGGAAGCACACAGGGGGTGGAGGAAAGAAGGCAGCCTCTTTCGGACAGGGATTAGAGGGGGCGAACTGCCCCTCCGTCTCGAAGGTCAAAGATCACGACCCCTGCCTCAAGTCCCGGGGGGGGCTCTCCTCACCCGCCTCCCGCAGCGCTCGGTGGAGCTTTCGGACGAAGTGGAAGGACACGCGGGGCTCCTCTTCGGCCAGGGCCGCCTCCAGCTCGGCCCGCAGCTCCTCCGGCAGCCGCTGCCCCTCGGAGCCCCGCAGGAAGCCCCGCAGCGCAGGTCCCACCTTCAGGGAGGACGCCATCTTGGAAGTGCCGCTGGTCATATGACCGCTCGGGCCCTGAAGTGGGCGGGGAAGAATCTGACTGGAGTTACCGCGGCAACCCGAAGAGGGACGTGAACAAAGAGGGAACAAAAGGGAAGAGTCGCCCTGAGAAGCATATTCCGGGTTCACTCCGCGGCCCAAAGGCGGGCAAGAAGCGATCCGAATAAATAAGCGGCCTGCGTCATCCAAAGCTTTCTGCAAACTCTGGTCTATTTCCCGAAAACACAAATGTTAATAATCATTTAAACCCGCGTGGGGGGGGGAGTGAGGAACAACCCCGGAAACTGCCTATTCGGGCTCCTTCTACACTTTCTTATCTCTGTGGGGAAGAAAGCGGCGCCGAGCGAGTGACCCGGAAGCCTTCCCCTCTCTATGGCCTACGCGCGGGCCAGAGCGACCCCGTCCTCTCCGCCCCTCAGACGACGAAGCGGGGCCTGAGGCGGCGGCGGCGGCGGCGCGGGCGCGCGGTGCATTGTGGGCGCCCGCTGAGGCCTGTCTTGCGCCAGGGCCGCGGGATGGCAGCAGCGGCCTGCGCGGCGGCGGCGCGGAGCCGGTGCTGGGCGGCGGTGGCGCTGAGCCGGGCCAGGGCCTCCTCCTCCTCCTCGTCCTCGGGCGGCTCCGGGCTGCCCTGCGGGGCGGCGGCGGCGGCGCTGCGAGGGGCGGCGCGCGGGACGGGCCTGTGGGCGTGGCCTGGCCTGGTCCCCCGGAGGGCCCTTTCCTCACGGTGAGCCACGGCGGGGGGGGGGCTTCAGGGAGGGGGGAGCTGGGGTGGGGCGGGGGCCAGAGCTGGGAAGAGGGGCTTGAGCAGGCAGCCCCAGACTCGGCCCGCCAGATGTTTGGGGACTACAACTCCCATCATCCCTAGTAAGAGGACCGGTGGTCAGGGATGATGGGAGTTGTAGTCCTAAAACAGCTGGAGGGCCGAGCTTGGGGCTGCCTGGGCTTGAGGGTACAGTGGGGGAATGGGGGGGTCTTACTTTTCAGGACGACCTCCTCCCCCATATTCCAACGATTTCTGGCTGTATCCATAGTGGAGGTGAGGGAGTCCATTGGGGCCGAGGACATTCCACCTGGGCTCTGACCGGGATCCCCCCAGAATTCCTGCATGAACAGTTGCCTGTTAAGCTTCTCATAGGTATGTTGCAGCTCTTGCAGTTGATGGTGGGACATCCCCCCCCTTTCCTCATTCATGTCCTGCTGGCAGGCTTCCCACTGGGGCCCTTCCGTTGTGTGGAAGCAGGATGCTGGGCTAGGGGAGTCCCCTTTGGCCTGATCCAACAGCCAGGGCTTCCTTCTGCTTCTCACTTCCTAAATAGCTGCTGAGTGTGCTTGTGCCCGTTGCTCCCTCTAATAGCAAACTTAGAATCATAGAATCATAGAGTTGGAAGAGACCACAAGGGCCATCGAGTCCAACCCCCTGCCAAGCAGGAAACACCATCAGAGCACTCCTGACATATGGTTGTCAAGCCTCTGCTTAAAGACCTCCAAAGAAGGAGACTCCACCACACTCCTTGGCAGCAAATTCCACTGTCAAACAGCTCTTACTGTCAGGAAGTTCTTCCTAATGTTAGGTGGAATCTTCTTTCTTGTAGTTTGGATCCATTGCTCCGTGTCCGCTTCTCTGGAGCAGCAGAAAACAGCCTTTCTCCCTCCTCTATGTGACATCCTTTTATATATTTGAACATGGCTATCATATCACCCCTTAACCTCCTCTTCTCCAGGCTAAACTTAGGCGGTGAGTGCCAACAGAAAGGAGGCCCAAGCAGAGTTGTACGCTCAGGTGTTTTGCAGAGATTAATCTGTCCCTGGAGGTTAACAGTTCATAAATATACTTGTAGGTTCTGCTTTGTGGGGTGTGTGGAGTGTTAGAAACAGAGATATGAAAGCTAGGGGCTAAATGGCACCTTAAACGTAGGTTATGGGCGCAACAACAGAATGTCTAGGCACACTTTTTAATAACAAGAATGGAAAGCTGAAAATGAATGAACCAGCTAAAATCTTTTGTTCATTTTTCACATGGTCTAGTCCTTCCCCTGCCCACCCCCATAATTTTCTTAAGAGGGTCTCTTCTCCAGTCTTCAGAGAGTGGCTGGAAATGGGGAGGAAGAAAAACAGCAGCGGCATTTTTAGTCTGAAATCTTAGGCACAGTATTGCACCCAGAGCTCAGAAACTGCTCGTGCTAATGAAATTCCCTGCTGCAAAATGTGCCTAGAACAATGGGAGTTTCAAACGCTGGGTGTGTGCAATATTATGGCGAGAGAGAAAGAGAGAGCCTGAAGGCCTGCCAACCACACCAAGGGGCAAAATAGTGGCTTGTGGGGGTGGAGCCCAATGCATAAAGGTGCCTTGAGAGAGTTCTCCCATTCTTATTAGAATGACATGAGTTATCATTGGTCATTGATGCCACTACCTTGTTGGCCTTCACCAACCAAGGGCCCTCCAGATATTTTGAACCGCAACTCTCATCCAGCATGGCTGTAGGATGCTGGGGGCTGATGAGACTTGTAGTCCGAAACGTTTGGAGAACGCACCAGGTTGGAGAAGTCTGGTTTAAAGCATTTGGAGTCGGGAACCCTTACTGGTCTCCCGCAAATCACTTTGAGGCCTGCTTGCTCCTGCCTGACTTTGCCAGTGCAAAATGAGATTTCACTTTGCACCTAATTCAGCTATCAAAACAGGACCCACAGGCACAGTCCCCTGTGTTCTTATCCCCAGAGCTATGCTGCTTCAGGATGTGCAAGGCTCTTTTTAACCATCATGACCAACATCCATCGATAGACTTCCCTCCCTCCCGAGTTTATCTGTTCCTTTCAAAAGTCATCTGAGCTCTTGGACATCATGACTGCAGTTACCTCTGGAGTAAAACTTTAAACAAGTAGCTTTATTCATTGTTACTTTCTTGTTGCATTTGTTGTGAGTGGGGCAGATCAGCATCACTGGGCTCCCAGCTGAATAGGAGTCTGAAAGCTGAGCTGTGATTGGGAGGGGGGCGGGGGGCGATGTCCAAAGCCAGTTCAGATTTGCAACTCAGTGACCAACACTCTGGGCGAGCTTGACGTCCTGCCTTCTCTCTGCCCTCACCCTAGGAATCGCCCTGAGGGCAAAGTGCTGGAGACGGTGGGTGTATTTGAAGTGCCAAAGCAGCATGGGAAATATGACACGGGTCAGGTAAGTGGGAAATATGACACAGGTCAGTTTTTTGTGTGGCAGGGTGGAATCAGAGGCACTGGAAGCCTCTTGCTCTACACAGGATTGGGTCAGCTTGGGATCCTCTCTTTTTGGTGTCCCCATCTCTTTTGCAGTTGGTGCTACTATAAAGGGACACCTCTGGACCATATTCTGCAAGCCCAGCCTTATAAAGGGATCCTTGTCTGGTTGCCCACAGGAACACGCAGATTTTTTTGCTTCAAGGCAACCAGGCAGAGAAGCTTTTCTTAGTGGAAAAGAATGTTGGCTCTTGTAAGCCATCGCTGTGACACAGTATGGATGTGTGAAGACTGTCAGGACCTGTAGCATTTTTTTGGTCCTGCCCACAGCTGCATTTTTGGCTTCCTTCACACGACCTTTGTTGTTTGTTTTGACACACACACCCCTTAGACTCTGGATTAGGTAGCAATAGATGCCCTAAAGCTGCCCACCTCCCTCCCTCCTGAAGCTGGTTCCTTGGAGCTGCCATTTCTCACTGTGATGGTTGGAGCAAGTTCTGCTTTCTCTTCTGCCTTGGCCTGCCTCGCTTGACGCTTTCTCTTGTCCTGCCCCCTGTGCTCTTTTCTTTCAGCTATTTCTCCACAGTGTATTTGGATACCGGGGGATAGTCCTGTTTCCTTGGCAAGCCAGGCTGTACGACAGAGACGTGGCTTCTCCGGTGCCTGAAAAGTAAGGAAGGATTGGTGTTTCACTCACAGGCAGCCAGAAATGGGGAGGGAGAGGAGCATGTTAAGAAGCTCAGTGCGCTTTAAGTTGTTGTTGTGGTTGATATTTAGAGTGGGCAGTGGGCAGAGCTTGCCTGCTTTATTTAATCATTTTGTTGAATGTAATTTATATACCGCTTACTCCGAGTGGTTTACAGTAAACAATTTTTTTAAGTCATTGAAAAATACAGTTGTGCCTTGGTTCTCGAACAGAATCTGTTCCGGAAGTCCGTTTGATTTCTGAAAACGTTCGAAAACCAAGGCACGGCTTCTGATAGGCTGCAGGAGCTTCCTGCACTCAATCAGGAGCCCCGTCGGACATTTGGGCTCCAAAGAACATTTGCAAACCAGAACGCTCACTTCCAGGTTTGCGGAGTTTGGGAGCCAAAACGTTCAAGAACTAAGTTCCTAACTGTATTTGCTTCCATATTAAAGGACACTGGGTTTTTTTGCATTTATTTATTTACACCATAATAGCTTCTAACCAGTTAAAAAGTATAAAAACAATGATGACATATTTACACACAGTTAACATAAGCAATAAAATAATTTCATTAGCACAGTAAAAACATACCTAATTAAAATAAAGGAAATTCATTAAGAAAGCTTCAGACACCAAGGTAGTGGAATACAGTGGTACCTCGGGTTAAGTACTTAATTCGTTCCGGAGGTCTGTTCTTAACCTGAAACTGTTCTTAACCTGAAGACCACTTTAGCTAATGGGGCCTCCTGCTGCTGCTGCGCCACCAGAGCACGATTTCTGTTCTCATCCTGAAGCAAAGTTCTTAACCTGAGGTACTATTTCTGGGTTAGCGGAGTCTGTAACCTGAAGCGTCTGTAACCCGAGGTACCACTGTATATATGTGACTTTGGGGATTTTCCGGTTTGTAACATTTCCTCTCCTTTCTCGTACAAGAGGCTTTTTTCTCCCCCAATGAGGCTGAGCTGCCGCCCTGTGTCAGAGACGGCCCATCCACGCTTGCTCTGTGAAATGTGAAATCTGTTGTGGATTTAGCATATAACCAGGCCTGATCGAGCCTTCTGTAGCCTTTTAAATGTGTTTCGGGGGGGGGTGTTAATGGTTTGGTTTTTGCTCTGTAATGTATTTTGTGTTCTCATTTTGTATTTTTCTGTTGTGAGCCACCCTGTGATCTTCGGATGAAGGACAGTACACAAATTTTAATAACAGTAACAATTGTAATAATATCAACAGAAGAGGTTCTAAAAACACGCTGTGTGTCTCGATTCAGGGGTGAGAATGCAGCTGGGCACGGATCCAAGGAAGTGAAAGGCAAGACGCACACGTACTACCAGGTTCTCATAGATGCTCGGGACTGCCCACATATAGTAAGTGCTTTAGCCTTCCTCCCCTTGCCCCCCCCCCCATGCACGACTAGGATGCCATACAGAGCAGGGAGGGAGCCGGTCGGAGGATCCATCTAAGGGTGCCTTACATCAGAGGCGGTTAACACATGGCCTTTGTTAT